TTTATTTATGGTTTTTTATTTTCTCGGTTGTAATATAGGATCTCTGATTAATACTTTACGTGCAGAAAGGAGAATTGGGCTTCAGTCGTCTTATACTTCTTAAGACAGCAATAATGAAGGAAGTTGTATAGCTAACTGAGGCTAGTGTGAGCTCCCTTTTTTCGTCGCTCTATCTATTTTAGAGAGTTGCAAGCTGTTTGGAAATAAAGTAGTTGCTTGTACTCTAAAAACTGTACATTCTGTAGTTTGAGGTTATATATTAGGCTGAGGCCACTGCAAATGAGATAAAATTATCTGTATGTTTTTTAGCAGGTGTAAAGAAAATGGTAAAGAAAGAAAGCTGTGTAATGAAATATGTTAGCGTGACTGTACAAATGTCACAATATGGAGAGCTGAGTTATTTAGGAAGAGGATTTTTCTGTTGTTTAGTTTGGGATGTTAAGATTACATATATATATATATTTCTAATTTATGCTTTTGTTTATCCAGCTAAATCTTTTATTCATGGATGTGCTGGTTTTTTTTTACCCCCTTTCAGTTTTGTGCTTATGATACCATTTCATTTTTTCGACTGCTGTGTACTATGTTACATTTTGTTGCATATGCAACTTATTGATTACCACACATTATTGCTTCAATATCTGTTGTCTTGTAACTGTGGGTCATTTTTGGTAGGAGGTTAGGCTTGATATTAATGTGGGCAGAATTTGTTTAAGGTCTGCCATCAACCATGTTTGCTATATCCACTTCCAAACAGTAACTTTGGGAGTTGGATTGCCGAAAATGTCCTTTTGGACTTGGCCTGGTTTGGTTTGGAAGAAGGGCAATTTAGTCCTCACACACCCCCAAAGTTACTGTTTGGGAGTGTGAATAGTTGGACCCGCCATCAACCTTTTACTATTTTGGCAGAGTTAGGTGGACGGATGAAGGCACTTACAAATCTTTGAAAAGATTTTTTTCCTATTTTTTTTATTTTCATTTTTTACTATGTTTAGATAAGCTAGTATTAGTGATAAGTGCAAGACTCCATCATATAATTCATTCTTATTTAGAATTTCATCTTTATTTTCTATCAAAAAACCATCTTGATTTTATTCGAATTCAAGTTAGATTTTGTTGCAGAAGTCGGAGCTGATGTAAAAAGTCACAGCACTTTTTTTAGCCATATTGTCCTTATTTCTAACATCAACTCATGATAAATGGTCCTCGCTACCTCTAGAACTTCAGATTTATGTGTATGGCTCGAACTTATGCTTCAGATTTGTGCATATAACCATGTGACAACATCTAACGGAACTTACGCTCATCATCTCTACACTTGATCATGGCATGCTTCGGATTTGCGCATTCAGATTTGTGCATATAACTGCAAATGTTTCATTCAAAAAACTACTGCTGAAGATTACAAGCTCGTCTCGCGCCTTTGGAATCCTTAAATTGCCAATATACCTGATGTTCTGATTGGTACGGCGTCGTCAACTCATTCAGAGATTTCTCTAGTCTGGTATGGCTTAGTTACCCATTTTTAGCGTCTAGTTTCTTAGCATGGTTTCCATGGAAAATCAATGACACATCATCTGTTGTCACATGAATCACACAAGATGATCATATATGAATGTTTTTTTTTGGGGGGCAGAAAGAGCTTTATTGTTTCCCGATCATGAAGAAAATTCTCATCTACCACTCATTGGGGATTGAGCTAGGAAACTACAACTACTCCAATGGTGTTGAGCTTTAGCTTGGCCATTATCTTCTCCGATTGATTTTTCATGTTCCAGGCTTCGGGCATCCAGAATGTTTTAAGTGTTTTGTAAAAAAAAAGAAAAAAGCAGTTCGGAGGAACACTCGTATGCAGTCTTCCTGCAATAACTTGTTTTTTCAGAAGTTCTAAAAACACACAAAGTGCACAAGTGCGCACACACATTCAAGCATGCGCACACGCACACAAACACATACAGACACGCACACGGACAAACAATCACAAAAGAAACCCCGTATTCCAAATCAAATATGCTCAAACAAGGTGGGGATCATATTCTTGAATAATTTATCCTGGAATCCTCGCGCTTCATTCACAGTTAAAACTAAATACATAATGCTTTACTGACACTGTATGTATCATTCTTGGCGATAATCTAAAGATTCAGCCTTGATCCTCATCGTCTAATTTGAAAATACGTGTATGTGCTTTTCCCTCCATTTTCCTTCCTAGCGTGTGTCTGATATAGTCCAGATATTTTACTGTTCTGTACATTTTCGGCCTACCAATACCTTCTACCATCTCCTGCAGTGGACCAATTTCAACAACTTCATTTGCTATCACAGATGTTGCGAGAGACATCCTCGCCTTCTTATTGCTTGTGATAGCTCTGTGTTCAATGCTTTTGTATATCCCATTGCTCCAGGCCTGCAATGATGGACATATGATAGTATGATCACAACCAAATACTTGCAAACAATCTATCATTCCGTATGTGAAATAGTGACCATAAGGAGCTACTATCATCTCCACTACGACTTTTGTTGTGTTGATCTACTATCATCTCCACTATGATTTTTGTTGTGTTGATTTCTTACTGCTGATGATTTTTCAATTCCGGTCTTGTTTATTCACTATTTGTTAATGACTAAATTGCCATATTGGTATTTTTATTGGACCATATTTTCCGATATGATATGTATTTCTGCTCTGACGTCAAGATGATATTTTAACTTGTGTTCTGATGAGAATAAGACCCTTTTCTGGCGAATTATAAATTTTTTTTGGGAAATTTCTTCCATCCCCCTACCTATCAAAATTATCAAATCTACACCCTATTTTCCGATAAAACTTGCAATATATAGATATACCTCAATGACATCACCAACCAGGGCATCTGGAATTGGTTTTACTAAGAACCATTCCTCCTTGTACTTGATTTGGAGACCAGCGATATCATCATCTTGTAAGAGCATGGTAATTGAGCTTCCATCAGAATGTGGGCTCGCACCAATATTTTATTTGGTTTGCTGCATGTCGGGTAATAGTTCATACACATAGATTGCTTTATTTCTCCATGCTGTTTTAAGAGCCGATCTTTATCTATATTCATCATCAAGGAAGACCGCCACAGCTGCGTCTCTGCAGAAAAAGATGAAAAATGTAAAAAGACCGCTTTTAATTTCCATGATCTAACCTTCAAGAGTTACTAGAAATTTGATGCTGTGAGGGGGTGTTCGACTATTATAGAATTTTGAACGTGCCTAGCTGAAAATGTGATAAAGGTGAGCCTAAAATAATTAGAAATTTTGTAATTTGCTTGTTCTTACTTCAATAGTTGAATTCTTAAAGAAACATATCATGACCTAACATATAACAATAACCTAGAAACAGGCAAATTTAACTGAAGAAAATGCATGATTGTTGGTGATATGTGCATAGATACAAATTTATAGTATTTTTTTCGAAATGTACACATGTGACCAGTACTTTGGAGAGGTTGATAAGAAAACAATGACTTTCTGGAGGGTATCGCAGAAAGCTCAACCTTAAAATATAGAGGCTGCTAACTGATAGGAAACATATATGAAGTCTGGTAACTACACTTGGCCAGTAATTTTGGATTTTCTAATTTCAGTTGGGAGTGTCATTAAGAACATCAGATCACTCCAGTCCAGCTTCTGCTCACCGGATACAGCATAGGCCTGCCCGTGCCCTTCGATGTCATCTGGCGACATGGAGTACTTGTTCTTCTGCTCCAATGCGAGTTCCAAGAATCCAGACACCGTGTCTTCTGATATTCCATGATTCACTATGTGCATGAAAGTGTAAGTCGAACTCCGATATGATTGTCCAGGAGTACTACATCTTTAGCGGTGTTCACTGCAGAGCATTGTGTTAGTTGCCCTTCCACATAGAAGAATTCCTACTAAGTTCTTACTTGCAAGCATTGAGATGGGACACTCTACTCTTTACCATCCCTTATGTGTCAGGCGCCTATCAACTCCAAAACCCACCGAAAGTGCACAGCCAATGTTGAAAAGGAGAAAGAAAACAAAAGAGCGGGCCCCACTGCTACAGTAAAATATTAATATTTTATTGTGCATAGTGTTTTTCAAAAAACTATAAATAGGGCTCCAAATCCTTAAGGAAATCTCATCCCAGAAACTTCTTCTTATATAGAAGTGTGTGAGAGAAAAAATAGAGAGAGTATCTCCTTAGAAAGAGAGATTGTAACTCCAGAGTTTTCTCCTCATAGTGAATTCTTCTATCCTTGCCCGTGGACGTAGGCAATCAAGAGCCGAACCACGTAAATCTGTGTGTCCAACATTTTATCTCTACTTTTACTTTTCTATTGCTGCGATCCTGCTCTATTGGGCCCCGGGTTTGTCCCAACAAGTGGTATCAGAGCCAACTTAGGGTACTTGTATATATCTACTTATCGTATGCTCTGTGGCTGCCACCAAAGGTGGATCCTCCACATCAGAAAATAAGTTAGGTTATCATTTACCCTTTGGAGGTGACGGGTACTATTCACGAGGACGGTACTATTCACAAATACGTTACTATTCACAAGTACGGTACTATTCACGGATACGGTTACTGTTCATAAATACAGTACTATTTACGTGAAATAGTAAGAAGTTACTGTTCGTGGTAGAAGCAATGGCGGCGAAGTTCAAGATCGAGAAATTCGACGGGAGTAATTTCTCACTGTGGAAGTTGAAGATAAAAGCTATCTTGAGAAAAGATAATTGCCTGGCGGCCATCGGTGCAAGGCCGGACGACATCACAGATGATAAGAAGTGGAACGAGATGGACGAAAATGCTATTGCAAATCTCCATCTGGCATTAGCAGACGGGGTGCTGTCAAGCATAGAGGAGAAGAAGACAGCAAAGGAGATCTGGGATACTCTAACAAAGCTATATGAGGCGAAATCCATGCACAATAAAATCTTCTTAAAAAGGAGACTTTACACTCTGAGGATGGCGGAATCTACATCGATGACCGACCACATCAACACCCTAAACACACTGTTCTCCCAACTCACAACGTTGGGATATACAGTTGGTGCGAATGAACGTGCAGAACTTCTACTTCAGAGTCTACCTGACTCGTATGATCAACTCATCATCAACCTGACGAACAACGTCCTCACGGACAATCTAGTCTTCGACGATGTTGCAGCCGCTGTTCTGGAGGAAGAAAATCGGCGCAAGAACAAGGAAGACAGGCAGACAAGTTCGCAGCAAGCGGAGGCCTTGTCGGTGACGAGAGGAAGATCAACAGAACGTGGCTCCAGTGGGAGTCATGCCCATGGTAGATCGAAATCACGAAGTAAGAAGAATATCAAATGCTACAACTGTGGCAAAAGAGGGCACGTCAAATCGGAGTGTTGGCACAACAAGAAGAGTGGAGATAAAAAGTCTTCAGAGCCATCAACATCTCAAGGATGCATTGTCAGCACGTCAGAGGATGGTGAAATTCTATTCAGTGGAGCAACCACTGTTGATGAAGGCAGAAAGAAGTTTGCTGATGTCTGGCTTCTAGATTCAGCAGCCTCTTGGCACATGACCTCTCGGAGAGATTGGTTTCACAAATATGAACCTATCTCAGGAGGATCTGTATTCATGGGGAATGATCATGCCTTGGAGATTTGTGGTATTGGTACTATCAAAATCAAAATGTTTGATGGTATAATACGCACCATTCAAGATGTGCGACATGTGAAGGGCTTGAAGAAGAATCTATTGTCTTTGGGACAATTAGATGAGCTCGGGTGCAAGACTCATATAGAAAATGGAGTCATGAAGATTGTTAGAGGGGCGCTTGTGGTGATAAAAGGAGAAAAGATAGCTGCAAATCTGTACATGCTCAAGGGAGAGACTCTGCAGGAAGCTGATTCATGTGTGGCATCAACCAGCCATGGAGAAGAACAAACCATGATGTGGCATCGCAAGCTAGGCCACATGTCAGAACGAGGCTTGAAGGTTCTCTCCGATCAGAAACTGCTTCCTGGACTTAATTCGGTAGCTCTTCCATTCTGCGAGCATTGTGTTACAAGCAAGCAACATCGACTGAAGTTCAACACATCGAGTTCTAGAAGCAAGGCTATTCTGGAACTGGTTCATTCTGATGTATGGCAAGCACCAGTTACATCCTTAGGAGGAGCAAAGTACTTTGTGTCCTTTATTGATGATTACTCCAGGAGATGTTGGGTGTATCCTATCAAGAAGAAGGCGGATGTGTTCTCAGTCTTTAAAGCCTACAAAGCGCGGGTCGAGCTTGAATCTGAGAAGAAGATCAAGTGCTTGAGAACAGATAATGGAGGAGAATACACAGACGGTGAATTCCTAGCATTCTGCAAGCATGAAGGCATCAAAAGACAATTCAGTACGGCTTATACTCCTCAACAAAATGGAGTGGCGGAGCGGATGAACAGAACTCTGTTGGAAAGAACAAGAGCTATGTTGGCTACTGCAAATCTGGAAAAAGTCTTTTGGGCGGAAGCAGTAAAAACCGCCTGTTATGTGGTGAATCGATCTCCATCAACTGCAATACAATTAAAGACGCCGATGGAGATGTGGACTGGCAAGCCAGCTGATTATTCTAACCTCCATATATTTGGATGTCCAGTGTACGTAATGTACAATGCCCAAGAAATTACAAAGCTGGATTCAAAATCCAGAAAATGCATATTCTTGGGGTATGCTGATGGAGTAAAGGGGTATCGCCTGTGGGATCCCACTACCCGCAAGGTTATCATCAGCAGAGATGTTATCTTTGTAGAGAACCAACTACAAAGTGAAGAGAAAGAAAGCAGTTCGAGGAAGGACTCAGAGACTGTAGCTGTTCAGGTAGAAGATAATCCGAATTCTTCTGAAGCGACACCGGAGCATGATGTACAAGAACCAGTCGAGGCCGAGGCTCCAGAAGTTCGAAGGTCAACTCGTGAGAGAAGACCACCGACTTGGCACTCGGAGTATATTACGGAGAGTAATGTTGCATACTGTCTTCTAACAGAAGATGGAGAGCCATCAACTTTTCATGAAGCTATAAATGGCACAGATGCATCTTTGTGGATGGCAGCAATGCAGGAAGAAATTGAAGCTCTCCATAAGAACAAGACTTGGGAACTTGTGTCACTGCCACAAGGAAGAAAGACCATTGGAAACAAATGGGTCTACAAGATCAAGCGAAATGGCGATGATCAAGTGGAGCGGTATCGTGCTAGATTGGTGGTAAAAGGATATGCTCAGAAAGAAGGTATTGATTTTAATGAAATATTTTCTCCTGTAGTGCGACTAACAACAGTCCGAATAGTCCTGGCTATGAGCGCTATATTTGACTTACATATAGAGCAGCTAGATGTGAAAACAGCATTTCTTCATGGAGATCTTGAAGAAGAAATTTACATGCTCCAACCAGAAGGTTTTGAAGAAAAAGGAAAAGAGAACTTGGTTTGCAGATTGAACAAATCTCTGTACGGTCTAAAGCAGGCGCCGAGGTGTTGGTATAAGAGATTTGATTCATTCATCATGAGCCTTGGATACAACAGACTTAATTCAGACCCTTGTGCATATTTCAAGAGGTTTGGTGAAAATAACTTTGTTATCTTATTGTTGTATGTTGACGACCAGTCAGTTGTGGCTACTTCAACAACAGAAGCAGAGTATGTAGCAGCTACACAAGCTAGTAAAGAAGCGATGTGGTTGAAGATGGTGCTGGAGGAACTCGGCTATGAACAAAAGAAGATTTCTCTATTTTGTGACAGTCAGAGTGCTTTGCATTTGGCAAGAAATCCAGTCTTTCATTCAAAGACCAAGCACATTCGAGTTCAGTATCACTTCGTTCGTGAGAAAGTGGAAGAAGGAACAGTAGATATGCAGAAAATTCACACCAAGGACAACCTAGCAGATTTTTTGACAAAAGCAGTCCATACCGACAAATTTACTTGGTGTCGATCCTCTTGTG